GTGTGTGCTTGTCTATTCTCCATTATATCACCTCCTCCTTAAAAGCCTCCTGCCTAAAATCACTTCTTTCCCGACTCCGACCCCTAAACAAGCACGGCCATTTTACTCCCAAACAGCTCATTCCACATCCTGTGTTTAGACAACGCAGTGAAATACAACCAGTTTGTGCACTCATACACCGGGGGGGGATGATTATGTGTTTGTGCGCGCGTGCACGAGTGTGTACATAGGTGGGTAGGTGGGGGTGCTGACGGACAGCACCGGCTGGTGCTGGTCTGGGGTTTAGATCAGTCCCGGTTTACCATTACGGATCCCCTGCAGGGTTTCCGCGACCCCTTGTCCGTGAGTTTTGACCTTTGACCCCCCCCCTACGACTCCTGTCAAAGCTGCGCTGGGATAGACGGGACCTGGTTGACGTGGATCCCCTGTTGTGACACCGAGGCACACACGCAAAGAAAATATACACAGACGCACCATTTGTTGCTTTCTTTACCCCACACCTTTTGTTGCTTATTCTACCTCATGCAAGGAGCAGAAGTGGAAGTGGGGGCAGGGGGGGGCTGATCAAGGACAAGACAAACGGAGCCTTGGAGACAGGGGGGCGGAGGGGTTAGACTTTTGGAGATTTAGTGGAATGTCCACTCCCTGTGCGTCTTCTTCAAACGCTGTTTGCTCCCTTAATCACCCCAGATAAGCCGGGTGTTTTTAAGCCGGGCAGATTTACGCCGCTCTGCTGGCGGGTCGGAACCGCAATGCCATCAGAGGGGTCCGGATAACGCGGCCACATCTTCCAGGTGGGGCTGAGCCGGCCTGAAGAGGCCCAACCAAACACCCCAGCAGAAGTCTGAAGGTGTGATATGCGCCGGTGCTCGCTCGCTCTCTCAAGAGCGATACACGCGTACAGCAAACACGCATTGTCTAAATGATTGATGAAGTGTGCTCCGGTAAATGGAATACATGAAGGAAGCTCTCCGCGTCGCAAAGGACAACACTATTGATAATAATAGCGAGGCAGAATGCCTCATCCGATTACTGCTGGCGAGAGAATGTTACGGTGGACGAGTGTAATGATGATCCACCGTCGCGCTGGATGCTGCATCTGACGGATTTGAAAGCGCCATTGAAACACTTCGGGGTGGAGGTTCAGTGTTCTTAGCGCTCACACGCACCAGCAGGGAGGGTTCCACGCGGCGCAGAGTTGTAGGAAAGCAAAAATCGGCCGCACGTGGAGTTTTCGGGTTCATCTGCAGCCCACGCACATGCCACTAATGGAGTTTGTTAAAATATTTATCATGTAATCAGGAGACAATATGCGGAGCGGCAGCTGGCGAGGAAAACTTTCAGCAGACGCTGAAAAATGCCCAAGGTGTGTTCCAAAGACATGTGGGCGTAATAAAGCTCAAAGAAGTATTTCTTTAAAGTCCACATGATGTGTTGCCACAGGAGCGGCCCCCGAAAAACTGTCGCTTGATAACATCACAGGCTTCATGCTTCCCCACATTCTGGCTTTGAACGAGAGCTCACAAACATCGATTGAACTGCTCCAGATCAAAAACATAGCATATGCAGGATTTAGTTTAGCATGCGTTATTTTCCTTTAGAGGGCGATGAAGTATTCATTTATAATCAAAATATAAAAGGAACTTGTTTTTATTTACTCATAAAATATAAATGTATACCTTTTACCAAGGAACACTTCGATATACAAACTTAAATCATCCATATTCAGGTGGAAACGCCATAAAAGGAGTAGAATATTTTAAAAGGTACTTTCAAATAGCTTCATTGTATTTTCACAGGGTTGTGCTGCATGAGACTAGATATGTTGTAGATCAGTTGATTTCTTATGGTCTGCAGACATTTCATTGATACGGAGTAGAATCAATTACAGATGTGGCAGAACAACTATCCTCAGAACAGATCAACCCCACCGCATGTAATCAACTCCATCCAGGAAATGTAGGAAATGACGGATTCAAGTAATAATTAGATAAGGCCAAAGCGGCGTCTAAAATAACACTGTCCTTGGCATTTGTAAACTGAGCCCCAGCATGCAAGCTTCTGCAGCTACTGAGCTAACATGAGGGACAAAGAGACTCTAGGTTGTCGTCATAGCCGTCGGATGACCTGCAGCTTTGTAACCTACCCGCTTGTTATTTACAAATCCCATTAAAACACTAAAATCAACAACGTGTTAGTCTGTCTCTTAATGCTCCATGACTTCCTCGAGGCAGCTTTAAGCTCTTTTGTTCCCGCTAAAGACCTGAATCCTGAAAAACTGAAAGAAATGAAGAAAAAAAAAATGAAGAAATGTTCCTTTTAGGGGAAAAAACTGTAAAAACTGTAGATGATTTAGCAGACATTACTCAAACCAAAGATTAAGTGCATTCTTTAGGGACCACTTTCAGTGTCTGATTCAAACACGTTTGGTGCTGTCGTGAGTTTAAAGCTCCAGCAAAATATACTGTAAAAGATGATTGAGTTGAGTCAGATTGGTAATATTAGATAGAGCTCAGGTCTATGGTAATAAAATAACATGTCGCCCAGTGATGTGTTTTTAATAGTCGTTGCACAACAAAGGAGCTCTTTGGCTCAGAGGTATCAGCCATCTAAATTAGGTTTTGTCAAACCTTGTAGGTAGGATTAATTATTTGTTGTTTCAGGCAGTTTCATGGGATCTAATGATCATTTTAAAACACCAGCCTTATTCTTTGGAGTAAAAATACCCCAGAGGATTTCACTGGGTGTCAATATGTAATCAATGGCACCTTTTGGCTCTATCAACTGCTTCACACGGCTTTATGCATGAAGACATTCATATAGAGTACACTATCGACTTTATTTAACAACGGGACACGCGTATAACCAAGCAGAATATAGATAACTTATGTCTTTCCATGCTTGGGCATGACTTATCTCCTTCACGCTTTTGTAGATTTCACTGATGAGGGAACCTCTTAAGGCTTCAGCAGAAAAAACGATCCCATCTCAGGTGACCGCTGACAACATGATCAACCTCATTTTGGAGAAGAGTAAAAGTACTCTGAGAGAAGAACTATTCTTGACCTATGTTTATATCACACCTCTATGACTCCGATAATGTCTTTGGAAGTTTGAACGGGAGGATTTGATGAGGAGGCCAAGCCTCTGCAGACTCTGGTAGGAGAAGAACCATAAGAAGAAGCTTTGAGTAGTTTGGAGTGAATTGTTACATTATTTTGTCCTCCAAATGTTTCTCTCTCTTCAGAATAATATATGATAAGATTTAGTGTTTAAAGCCTGTCAGAATAATATATTCTGACACTAACTCTAATCATTGTAACCTACAGACACCATAACATTTTCACCATGGCAAAATGCTTGATCCAGACAAAAAGGCCAGAAATGTCTGTCTGGGTTTCAAAGGACGCTTTGAAGCAGTTTGAAGCTCTCACCGGTGTGAAGCGCCGGGTCAACTTCCTCCGCTCCATCAGGGATGACACACCTTCTGCAAACACTCGGGTCCAGCAAGATTAGTCTTGACTAGATTAGACCTGACTTTAGCTGAGGAGTCGCTAACACCCAGTCCAGAGGGAAACTACGCCGAGGTGGTACCGCCACCATTTCCTCCAACACCCCGTGGTGAACTTTTATTCTATCTATTTATTTATTTATTATTTTAAATAATATGGATAAAACAGAGCTCCCACCCTCAAGTCCAGATAGAAACCCCGCTGAGGTTTCCCCCCGAACCAGGTTCTCTACGACGGCCCCCGTTGAACCTCCATCGATCACTGATGTAAATAATAAACCCTGCTTGGGTATTTACCCAGAAGCCACCAGTCAACCAGACTGAGGATTGTCTTTGAATATGGTAGTCATTGTTTACAGTCATTGTCCAAAATAAAAAGCATTTGAATAATAACACAAATTCTGCTCGCTCACTTGATAAAAAGCATTTTTATCTTTTTTTTTCTTTCATAATTTAATGCAAAGAGAGAAATGTTCGCTGTAGATTTTGTTGTTATCGTTTCTCTTATTTAACACCATCTAATTTTGAAATTTTGGTACATGATATTTGAACTGCAGAACTGTGATTCAATTGTTACCAACAACATAACTGACAATGAGTAATTCCTATTGAACCAAACCCAGAGAGACGCGTGTCTACGAGAGGAAAGTTTGTAGAAAGTTTCCGGGTTTTTAATAAACCTCTTCAGAGCTTTAGGCAAAATGTACACGAGAATCTGTAAGTAAAAATACAAGTTGTGCAGAACAGTCTCTTCTATAATCTTCCGTCTCATTCTGCAGGGCTGCAATTTATTTGGAAGTTTATAGGAAGTTTCCAGAATATAATTCTATCATTTTGGGACTAACTGAACGGAAAGGTTTGTGAAAGAAAATATAGTTTGACGTCCAAAAGAATAGTCTATCATTACAGATTTATTATTGAAAACTTGGGACGTAAACCGTGACCAGACACTCTCAAGTTACGCTCGCAATTCAACAACGGATCTGTTTTCCAACAACCTAATAACTTAACGGACATTATTTTTATTAATAGGAGTTTATTGTTATTAAGTAAAGTCGTGTCAATTAAAGGTTTACTATTAGGTTTAAAATCTTACAATAGTATTGAATTTTGCTCTCGTAGAAGTTAAAAACTAGCTGTATTTAAGTAAAGAAGCACTTGAGGAAATGTCCGTCGGGACTGGAGGTTAATCCTGAACTCCACCCTCCTAACTCCCAAACGCCAGGGTTCCCAAAGCGAGGCGCGTCCGCTCCAGGGTTACTACGGAGCTGCTGCAGGGCCGTTACAACAGCAACCTCCCCGGTGTGACTGTGTGTAACCGAGGGTGAAGCTGATCTGTTCTCTTCTTGCTTGTGTGCTTACACGGCAAGTTGCACACACACACACACACACATACACAAAATGGACACACTTTCTCATCAAATCGAATGAGAAAATGCTTCCAAACCTTTGACCGACCACTGTGTTTCACCTTGGAGGACAAACTTACAGGTGATGTAGTAGTTGACGTTCTTCTTGAACTCCAGGCCCATGTAGTTGGGGCTGAACTCCTGGAATTTGATGGTGAACTTGATGTCCTTCTCGGGTTTGTTACAGTTGACCAGGACGTTGGGATCGAGGACCGTGCTGCAGCTCTCCGCCTGCTCCCTCTTCACCAGGTACAGCTTGTAGAACTCATACTCTCTGCCTTCGTCCGCTTTGGGACAGATGATGTCCAGCTTGTCCCCGATGTCTGGGTAGATGACGAGGCCCTGTCCGGCCACAAACCTGGCGGGAGAGAAAAACAGAGAGACAAAGCGATCACTAACACGTAATAAAGGCAGTCTGGAAACGCAGCCGCATAATTCGACAACGGTTTATACAACCTTAATACTTTGAGCTATGGCAGTTACAGGTTTAGATTTGTCTGCCGTGGGCCTTCGGGCAAAGCGTGCTTTATTCATCCCCCGCAAAAACACTACATGTAGCAGCTTGACATTGTTCAGCGTCAGGCGACGGAGCGTTTCAGGCAAATCCTCTCAAAGTTTCTTTTTTTTTTTTTTTCATACTTGGCCCCAAATCAAAGCATACCAAAAGTTTTCGAGACAAGATGGCCACACACAAAATGGCTGCCGCAGAAGCGGCTGCAAATGGGATTACAACCGGAGAATGCAGCGGCTGGTTTTGTTTTCTTCTCCATATTTGTGGACTTCAATAATAACCCCTGTGCGTCAACATGCACTTTCTACGCCGCCTCGACTTCAGGAGGTACGAGTTTCTGAAAGGAACACGGCGCGCCGGCCGGAAGGTTCGGTATTCACACTTCATCTTCCCGCTGCCGCGATCATCTACTGGAGGATTAAGATAATCCATCTGGCCTCACTGTACCTCTCCGCCGCGCTCTCTGCTGCCAACTCAATCAGATCAGCGCTTGTTCTTCTTTATTCACCAAAGAAGGGGAACAGGAGGAGACCCGGTGTGTGTGAGTGTAAGTGAGCAGGAGAGGGAGGGGGGGGCGACTACACTGAGTACTTGCAATGTATTTGGGCAGTGGTGTGTGTGTGTTTCTGCGTGCGTGTGTCAGTCAGAAAAATGAGCTGAGTTTGCCGTCTGATGGGTGGGGGGGGGGGGGGGGCGCAGTCGGAGGGGAGGGGGCCGAATCATTGTTCTGGACTTGTTTGAGGCTTAAAATGTCAACATGGTTCAGCTCTGCTGTCCCAGTTAGCCAAGCATTAACCTAGACAGCCGGACTGACCACGGGTGTGTGTTGGTGTGTGTGTGTGTGTGTGTGTGTGTGTGTGTTGTGGTCGCAGACAGCGAGCACAGCAGCGGGGCTATCTGCTAGATCTGCCCATGCCAGCGGATTTAAGCAGGATTTAGCGGCGTGCAATGCCGTTGTTGTTCTTTCTGATCCCTCGCGCTTTAACAAGACATCAGGGTCTCTCTCTCTGTCTCTCTCTCTCTCTATCACAGTGCCATCATCACACACATCATTTGACAACTAAATAACTGACTCTTCTGACAGGCCGAGGGAAGGGGAGGACTCGTGTGATAAAGGAGTGTGTAAGTGCAGGGAGCGGGGGGGGTCTATGATCACCATTCCTCCTCCCCTGATGTTAAGCTCGGGCAAACGTCCAGCCATTGTGAGATACGGTTGTTTTTTAAGTCCCATTTTCTGAGGAAATAACCCTCCATGAAAATGAACATGATCGGATTAAGGCCGTTTCCACATTCATGGCCATTGTTCTCGGGCAGCCACATTACCAAATCAATTAGTTAATTCACAAAAGCACATAAACGCAGCCACAAATTTGCAAAACGGTCTAAATCCTCCACCATCAACACCCTCACTTTTTTTTTTTTTTGTTGTGGGCTGCAATGATGTCATGAAAGAATGCACGGGTAGGACCTCTCGTACGAGGCTTGGGAGCGGGTGAGACGTTATTTCCACGCTATTGTCTGGTGCTCATGGGGGCTGGCTGGAGGGGGGGGCACTAATTCAAGGGCCGATAGGAGAGCGAGAGAGAACGCGGGGTGTGCTTTGTCCTACCTCCCCAAACAATTTACTGGTTTTCAGAAGCAACACCCTGCCTGAGCCTGTGTGTGCATGTGTGTGCGTGTATGAGAGCATACATATGTTTTCATGCATGTGTGTGTGTGTGTGTGTGTGTGTGTGTGTGTGGAGGGGGTGCACGTGCGTGTGTCTATGAAGACACGGACACAATCAGCCTCTAATTGGATCTACAAGATGCATCAGTGAGGCATAAACAAGTTTCCATGGCAACATTAGTCTTTGTTGCTGACCACCCCCTCTCCTCCCCACATCTCAGCCCCTACTTCCCTACTTCTGCTCCCCATCTCATTCCCTCTCGCTTTATCCTTCTCATTCACCTCCTCAACATTTCCCTCATTCTTTTTTTTTTTTTTTTTCCTATTTTGCTCTCCATCCTCCCCCTCTCTCCTCTCACACACACACAAAACACCTACAGAAAAAACAAGTGAGAAACCAGGTTTTCAGACCAGGCAAACATCATAATTAGACCTTGATTTGTTTGACTCAACAAGTAGGTATTTTGTTCTGTTTTCTTTGTTGTATTTTTTTTTCAAACAATAACTGTAATGATTAAAATAAATTTTTTTAAACGTCTCTCAAATGAAACAACGAGCGTGACAACCCGCTTCAAAGTTTTACAAACCATTTATTCCATTATCAAAGCAAGCGGCAACAATTTAGATGAATAATTAAGATCTCCAAAATCGTAATATCTTAATATCCCTGAAGGATTTAATCACGAGCCGGCCCCTGTCATTGATTCAATTTTCGGAGCGGGCCTCCTGGTTGGCGGTTAGATAGCTATCCTAAGTGAATTCTCCGCTTCTGTTTCCCAGCCTTTGTTAACTGTCTGCTATAATGAGGCTCTGGCTGCTGTGGAGGTCTGGAAGCGCCATCGCAGATGGGAAAGAAGCAACATAAAAGAAATAGGGCAGCAATTAGTGTTTAGCCCAGTTTAAAAGCCCTCCACTTGGCAAGCTGCAGCCCAGCTCCAGTCCAGGATGTGAAACTAAACTGGTGGGCCGGGACTTTGTCTCCCGTTTGTCTCTCTGTTGGCTTAATCAGCGCCACTCCGGTGCTGCACACAGCCACACGCAACGGAGAGGAGGAGACGACTGACTGAAGATTATTGTACTTTTGAGGAGGTCGAAAGGGAAAAAAAGAGACGGGGGGGGGGAAAGGGAGGTTTGAATTGCATCTTTCATTCACGTCGTCTGGAGGCTTTTAGAAGACCTGTTGATGAAAGAGGCTCGAGTGCACAGAGGAAGAGCCGCGCGGACACAAACAGTGTTTCTGGGAAATGACCCCGAGTGCGAGGGAAGGAGCTGCATCTGCCCCAACCAAGCACAATAAAGGGAACCATTCTCCAAACAGTCAAATGCGATTGGTTTTGTTTCATCTGGATGGCTTCGCGGCCGCGCTCAATCCTGCAAAGAGCTTATACAAACAGGCCCACGCTACAGCGCAGCGGAGGGAGAACAGAAAACAACTCGGCGGAGGGAAAAGAGACGAGGGGAGAACCCCCGTCCCCCCTCGCCCCCTCTCTTTTTACATTCCACTGGTGAATATGAGCACATGATCTCACATATGCTACAGCCCAACCCCCCCTCTACCACCTCCACACACACACACACACAGCACTGATGTGAGAGCCCACAAAGGCACCGTGGGGTGCATCCTGGACCTTCCCAGCCCAACTTCCCAGCCACCCCTATTCAAGCTCCCCGGCCCTCACCGACTTTCAAATAAAATGCCACCTACACCAAGGCCCACTCAAAGCCCCCACAGAGCCTCAACCCCCCTGGTCCCTCTTAACCCCCTCCCACGTGCTCTACACCCCCCGTCCAGTCCACTCGGGCCTCGGCCTGCGCCCCACTGGATGAAAGGACCCGAGACGCAGGAACGGCGAGAGAGAAAGGAGGCAGGGGCGGCTCATATCGACAGAATGGTTTTCAAAATAAATTGTTCCCTTGTGAGCAGCAGCGTGAACACACCGCACATATCAATTGCGATACGTCATTTCTCGACTACGTGGACAGGACGACCCATCTCCACAAGGGGAAGACGCCAACGGACCGGACGACAGTCCCGCCTTCTGGTTCCCTCCGTCTTGTTTCCGCGGACCAACATTTCTCTCTCTCTCTCGGTCTCTCCCCCTCCGGCTTTCATCACATGAGTGCACGTCACGCAAAAAGAAACACAATCCCCGCCACAACAGGTTGGCGCCCTACTCCCCTCGCTATCTGCGAGGTAATTATCGCGGCAGGAGGAGTGTTCCCTCACCAATTACCATCTCTCTCTCACACCATCCACTGAATCAGCAGCGGCTGCCTCCCTGCGTCGTGGCAGTCGAAACTTCCAACGCGGCCGCCATATTTCAGGCCCTTTCAATCGGGGTCGCATATAGCGTCGCCTCGTTCTTTGCCAGGAATTCAGCCACATCACAGGGTGAGGTCCGTCAGCGGCACAAAGCGGCATTATGCAAAGCGCATTGTAGTTAAGCTCTGCCGTGGGACACGCGTGGTGGTCGGGGGCGGGGGATGGGGGGGGGGGGGGGGGGATTTTAGGCGGATTCATTTGCTCCAGGCGACCTGCGTTTATGTGTAATCACAGGGTGCACTTTCACCCCGCCCGAGCTCGGGTCAATCAATATCAAATAATTGTCTGCGAGCGGAGGCTGTTCCTGCCGTAAACCGCTTTCAGATCCATCAAGATAGAGCGGCACGCCGGCCCGGCCTCACCACGCCGAAATGGCTTCTCTCGTGATGTGCGGTTGAGATCCACCGAGTGCTGTTGACACGGCGTGATCACTTCACACTCGCCACCGCCAAACCGTCAGTATGCGTGTGTGAAAAAGCTCTTGGGGATTCTGCCGCATTCGCGAGGCCGTCGAGCTGCGTGTCAAACCGATCCGAAGACGGTTTGAAGCGTCCATCCGTCCGTCCGTCCCCCCGTCGTTTGAGACGACGCGGCGGGGGGGAAGGGTGAGCTGGTCATGGGTCCTCGCCCGCAGTGGCCGTAGCTTGTATACATAGCTGGCTTCCGTCAGGCCGTCGCGGGGGCAGATGTTCTTAGGGAGGCCTGTCTATAAACACGCACACATAAACACACGCCCCGCAGTGTACACACGCTGATTTCCTCACGTCAAACACGGTAAACAAGTTGCCGCAATGCAGACAGAGGCCACACGGGCCACACACACACACGCGCACACACACACACACGCAGCAAAGAT